TGGCATCTTGTTGTTTCTTCAAATCATGTTGAAGAAACTTGTTAACCACTTGACGCCTCTCTCTCCCAAACTTCTTCAAGCCTCGATCGGTATGTCATCTGGACCCACTGTTTTCTTCCGCCCATCTTCCTCAGAGCCTCCTTAACTTCCATTGTTTGGATTCTTCTCACAAAATCACGATTTACCATACAATCTGGTATGGTCAAATTACTGATATCTTGCGCTTTGTTTCCGTTGAAAAGTGTATCAAAGTAACCTCCACCTCTCTTTTATCTCCCCGTCCTCCATTAGTACCCTTTGACCGACATCCTTCACAGACTTAATTTTTCCTATATATTGAGTCCTACGATCACGAAGACGAGCAAATCTGTAAATATCTTGTTCTCCTTCCTTAGAATCCAATTTTGCATACAATTCCTTGTTCACTTTTGTTCTTGCTTCCTTTACAGCTTTCTTTGCTCTTCTTCTAGCTTCCTATGTTCTCGTCGCTCCAACTGTTGCCCAATTTCTTATAGCATTCCCTTTTGATCCTTATTCCTTGTTTCACACCATCATTCCATCAAGATGTGTCCTTTTTTGTGGTAGACATCCATTAGATTCTCCAAGTATCTCTTTGCCACTTTGTTAAAGGTAGACTCCATTGATAACCACACATCATCCACATGTGCGTCATTATCAATGGATCATACATTTTCCTCCAACATTTTCTGCGTAAAAGTTTGTTGAAGATTCCCCTCTAGCCTCCACCACTTTATCTTTGGTTCCCCTTGTACCTTACCCCTCCTTTTCTTTTTACCTTGAAAATCAAACACAAGCATCCTATGTTGAGTGATAGCACTCTCACCTGGGATAACCTTACAATTGGTGTAGCTAGTTCTCCAAGCCGGCCGTACTAAAAAGGAGTCAATTTGGATACTATTAGTTCCAATTCTATAGGTCACAAGGTGAGAGTCTCTTTTCTTGAACCAAGTGTTCATCACAGCCAACTCATATGTCGAGGCGAAATCCAGAATGTTCTTCCCCACTTCATTTCTAGTGCCAAAACCATGTCCGCCATGGATACTCTCAAAACCATCACGACTGGGGCTCACATGCCCTTTGAGGTCACCTCCTATGATCAGCTTCTCTCTCCTTGGCACTCGTCGCACCACCTTCTCAAGATCCTCCCAAAATTGTTGAGTGATAGATGCATCCAATCCCACATGTGGTGCATAGGCACTTACCACTGACACGATCTCATCTCCTATTATCAACTTAATGCTCATGATTCGGTCATTCTTCTTGAAGACTTTCACCACAGCCTCAACATAATCCTGTGACACCATAATGCCTACTCCATTTCTGTTCCTTTCTCTCCCCGAATACCACAACTTAAAATCTTCGGGATTGATCTCATGTGCCATTTCTCCAACCCACTTAGTTTCTTGCATTGCATGCACATTATGCTGACATTCCTCCTTTTCATAACCTCGTGATGCATTGCTGATAAATGATTAGTATAATTGTCATTATCAGGACATTGTCATAATTTTAATCATGGACAATTTATTTAAAATAGACAATGTCTTTTTTTTTTAAATAATTCTCATTGTCATGGCATTGTCACTGTAATATTTTAACTGTAAAGGAAAATAAACATAAAGTGATGAATGTGAATTGGTTTTGTCTTGCAAACATTGCACCTACATGGAAATAAAAATTATATTTTATAGCTTTGGCATTAGCTTTAACAATGTCATTTTCATAATGATTGACATTCTGATGACATGGTCATTGACATTCTTTATGACATTATCTTCAACATTTTTATGACAGTTTTATGACATTGTCATTGACATTTTCATCGTAATTAATTGACATTACAACATTTTTTTGACGTGAACTTTTTTTAAAATAAAATGAACATTGTCATAATAGCTATTAACATTGTCATAATTATAATATTATTTTATAGCATTGACAATGACATTGCCATTGTGACATTTTCTTAATCCAGTGACATTTTTATGACATTGTCATTGATATTGTAGTTGTCTCAAGATATGTCATTGTAATTCCATGACACTAGTCATCTACCATAAACAACGTCATAACATTGATATTGTTTCTCATTGTAACCATGTAAAATATTTTTTAATATTAAACCTATTTTAGCACTAACATTACTTTAAGGGAAACTTCCCAAAATAAGACTAAATAAGTTTGAAATTCCAAAATAGGATTGACATGCTTTTATTCCCAAAATAGGAGTAACTACTATCAAGTTTGGAAACTACTGTCATCTTTAAAGTCTGGTACTGCCAAAACATGGCAGTAAATAGTCCTATTTTGGGAATAAAAACATGGCAATCCTATTTTGAAATTTACAAACCTTTTTAGTCCTATTTCGAGTAATATTCTCTTACTTTTAATATTGGGACATTTTTTGCAACATCGATATGATTCGTAAATTATGACATTGATATGCCATTATTTCTACTAGATAAAAAAAGGAAAGGTATTTAAATATTTAAATTCAAAACATACTTACTTTAAACTTTCAATAATTAGTAAACTAATCCATACATTCAACATTAAAAAAAGGAAATAATGAAAAAGAAATTTGGGCAGTTTCTTGGTGTTTCCATTGTATAAAATAAAGGAAAAATTCACATGAATAATCCCACTTTTTTCGGTTCTTCCAATATTAATCCCAAATATGAGTATTTCTAAAATACATTTATACAGGGTATTTCTCCTTTCTCTTTCGTTATTTCTCCTCATCCGCTCAGATCTATTTTCTCTTCGTTCCTCCTCCTCCTCCTCCTTCTTTCATTGAATCTCTTCTTTCATCCATTTTTCTTAATTTCATTTACACCTCTAGGAATTCAGTCATCTAATTAAAGGGATGAATGGAAGAATAAACTGGAAGCAGCTCCAAGATGAACCATCAGAGTCTGGTGGAATACTACTCCGGCAAAGATCGACCTCAGGACCTCCATTCGGCCATTCCATTAGAAGCAGAATCAGATGCCTCTTTCTTTTCCATATTAGTCGATACCAGAAGTAGGATATTCCTCTGTTCCATATTTGACAAGAGAGATGACTTCAAGCAACGAAGGTGCCCACTGTCTTTTCCGCCGCCACCTTTCTTTTAGCCGGCGATTGGAATTGATTCAAGAGGGAGATGAAACTGCCGGCAACACCTTCCTTTTCGTGTGGATTGAGCTACTCTTGCGGTCAAAGATGAATTATGTAGAGAATGATGAACACCTCTTCCATGTCTTCTCCATTGATAAGGGTGCGAATGGATGACCATGGGGATGAATGGAGTGGATTCAGATTTCAGATGCAAATCAATGTTTTTTTTTTGTTTTTTAATTTTTTTTACCAGTTTAGAAGGTTGTATGTGACTTGGATCAATGACGAAAGAACATGTATGAGACTATAGTAGAATTATATGTATTTGGGATTAATTACAGAAGAATGCGAAAAGGTTGAATTATATTGGTGTGAATCTTTCCTGAAATAAAAAAGAAATTGGAGAGCGATTGAAACTTAGTTATACGGTAGAGCACAATTGGCAAACGGAGCAACACCGATGACAATCTCACATGCATCAACTATTACATCAAAACAGAAGACGGATAAAGAGGAGACGAAGTTCATGGCCGTGAAAGATAGCATCACGCTAGCAATCATGCCACCGACAACATGTGTCAAAAGTGCTTCACCGCAACCACCGTATCCACATCCAGCACCGTCAAGTTCCTCGGTGGCTATTCCGCTCAAGTTCGCGGAACAACGGAAATCTACCTAGCTTCCGGAGGTCGTCTCCTGCGTGGTTGGTTCCAGATCTGAACAATTAGACCCCGCCAGACAATACCGACGAGAGAGATGATGACGTCTCAACATCTGCTGCCAAGAGGGAGGTAAATCGTTGCTCCGACTGTCGGGGGAAGTTCGATTTGATTGTGTTCGGCTAAGGTCCGACGATGGAATTTGGATGGTTCAAGTTTGGTGTTCGTTGTTGTGAGGCACTGAGGTCTCACTGCTTTTTTTTGTTTCGCAGAGAGAAGTCGATAGAGTTGGGGTCAGGGGCGGATCTGGCCCATGGCCAGGGTGGGCCTAGGCCCATGCTCAAAAAAATATAATTATTTGTATATATATACTATGTATATATTAATATATAATGTTTTAGTAGTTATGATATATAAAAAGCTAATGTCATTTTGTTAACATTAGTCAAGTTGGTCCAATGGAAGCACACTGATTATGCAACAAAAGGAGTTAGGTTCGAGTCTCCTGGGCACCATATTTATAATTTTTCAATGCAACATGAGTAATTTTTTTAAATCACTGTCCAAATTGTTGGGCTTTTGGTAATTGGTCTGCAAAATATATATAGTTGAAATCATTTGGCTTTTGAATATTAGCTTGATAAATTAATTAATTCGATTCATTAGAATTTCGAATATTAGTCTAAAAAATTAATTAGTTCACATCATTGGACAATTGAATATTGATTTGAAAAGTTAATAAGTTCAATTCATTTTGTTTGGTCGGTGAAATTTAATTAGTTTACTTTTTTTTACATAGAGCATAGACTATGGAGTCAAAAGAAAATTGATTTTCGAGAAATCAATTTGAAAATTGGTATTGAACACGTCATTAACCGACACAAGCCAATTTCAGTTAGATATCTATGACTCTTTTAAGATAATTAAATTTTCGGTTTTGTAATATTTATTAGTTTTTCTGTAACACTTCTGTAAAATTATATAACTAAATCTTGTAATTTTAACATTTTTTTGCAAAATAAATTACGTATCGCTAATTAAAATTTGGCCCCACCTCAACGCAAATGCTAGATCCGCCCCTGGTTGGGGAAAGAGAGTATTTTTGTCCCTCCCGTAAAAATTAGTCCTTTCCGTGAATTAAATTAAAAAGTTGGAGGTCCTATTTACCCTCCATCGGTATGTTTTAGTCTTCGTTATGTCTTTTTCCCTAGAATAAATGGATTTATGAAATTTGAGTACTTTCTCACCAAAAGAGCTCCGAATCAAAGCCGATCTAAAAGTTCATGTGGCTTTGGAAAAAGCGGTAGCGTTATATCAAGATTAATACTCCGTAATAATGAGTGACATGGATGAAATGCAGAAAAAAGTACACCAATAATTGATAAATAAAATCTTCAAAAACATAATAGATCTGCCCATTATCAATACAATCTGATGATATCCTTCAACACCATGGGAGAATCCTTAAACCGATGAAGAGGAGGAAGACGATGAGGGAGCACGACAGAGACAAGTGGCAACAAAAGGTTGTATTTTTCGCCTAAGGCTGGCAAACTTTTTCCACAGAACGACGAAGTCCTGGGTGGTGAGGTTGATGGTCCGGGTGGCACCGCCGTCCGAGAGTTTTTCAACCCGTTCGGCGAGGAGTTTGATAGCCGCAGACCAGACATCGGCTGCCGCCTTTCCGTGCTCGGTTCTTTCGGCGGTGACGAGGAAGCATCGCATCCACGTCAGCTCATCCGTGAGCTCCGTCATCGCCTCTTCCAAATCTTTGGTAAGTACACTAGGGTCGTCGCTACACCCAATCATGAAATTTAGAGTATCTAACGTCCCCAACGCACCGACAATTACGCTATTGGCACTCCTCTCTTTGCGCTCTGACATGTTTAGCCAGCTGAACTTCTCCATATTGTTCGATGCAAGCTAGAACCCGTGTCATATATGCAATATATATAGCTGGCTGGGTGCAAACACTTGTGTTTAAAAAAAATATTTTTTTTTGGAAAAAGTGATTAATAGTAAAAGTTTGTAGTATTTGGTAAAATAAGTATTTTTTGTGTAATAGAAAAAATAAAAAATAGATTCTACACGAAAGCCGAGAAAAATAAAAATTGGTAGTATTTGGTAATATAAGTGTTTTTTAACCAAAAAGCCGAGAAGTGCTTTTTTTTAGTGTTTGCAAACAAAGCCTTAGTAGAGTAAAAAAGTGTGATTGAGATTTATGTAAACAGAAAGAAATGATATGAATCATTGATTGATTAAAAAAGAAAGTATGACACTATGAGACAACCAATAAGGAAAGATGAAAGAAGAAGTGTGTGATACACATATGTGGACAAAAATCCTTACATAGAAATATAAAGTATAATACTGCTACGCCTAAAATATTACGTATGACTTATTCAATCTTAATGATGATTTTTTTAAGATGATACAACAAGTCATATTTTAAGAATAAAATAAAAATGCTTATATTTGTGCACTATGTGTGGCTTTGAGTCATATTGAGGCACACCAAATTTTGGACGAAATAAAAAGAAATAAATTTGATAATGAATTTCATGAATTAGAATGGTTTACAAATTAAAAAAGCATGAGATTTTGCAAGTAGATCAGTAGATGGGCGTTTTATAGCGTTTTGTATATTGCAAAGAAGTGCAATATTGGAGCCTAAACGTGTCGAATCCAAAAAAAATGGTGCAATCAAAAGTTTACTCAAAAAAAGTGACCGAGTGACCATAATCGAGGGAAGAGGGAAAAGGCTGAACGGAGATTGATCGAGCTAAGTTTCCCAGGTACACGTCAAAACGCATTTGAAAAATAAAGTGACTTTCCTTCTCCGAGAAGCGACTTTTCATCTACGTTTTCTACTCTAATACTTGGAGCCCGTTTGGAAAACTTTGTTTTCGGCTTATCAGGCTTATCAGCCATCTTTTTCACCAAACACGTAACTTTTATTTTCGCGCGCTAAATTGTGTAATAAGCCGAAAAAGTAAGGTTGGAGTTACTTTTCTGGCTGTATTGGCTGAAGTTACTGTAGATGACCATTTTAACTATTTTTACATATAATTTTTTCTTTAATTTATTAATAAAATATATTTTTAAAATATTTTTTTCTTAAATCAGCAGAATCAGCCAAAACAGCCACTCCAGCCAGAATATCATAAATTTCAGCAGAATCAGCCAAAACAGCCGATTTTGGTGCTACCAAACGGGCTCTTGGTCTCTTCTTTTTCAATTGCAATGATCAATTTTGTACATTCCTCAACGCAACCTTTGATTGTAAACATATCTTATTTTCTAGGGAAAACTGTCAAATAGGTCCTCGAACTTTCACAAAAAGATCAATTAAGTCCTTCTATAGGAGGTTCTGTCCGGCCGTCGCGATTTGGGGCAGTTTCCAGTTGAATTTTTTGATGATTTTTTTTGAAAATCTTATTCACCAAGTCTAGTTTACTCATACCAAATTTCAGCTAAAAATTCAATCGGGAACACATTCAAATTAATTCTTAAAGATAACTGCGCATTTTTGCGTTCTCGAATTAATTTGAATGCGCTCCCGATTAATTTTTAGCTGAAATTTGGTATGAGTAAACTAGACTTGAGGAATAAGATGCTCAAAAAATTTCATCAATAAATTCCACCGAGAACCGCCCCAAATCGCGACGACCGGACATAGTCTCCTATAGAAGGACTTAATTGACTTTTTTATGAAAGTTCGAGGACCTATTTGACAGTTTTCCCTATTTTCTATAATAAGATATGTTCGGGGCATAGAGTACAATAATTTGGGGGACCACTGGACCAGACTGATCTCTCATGCAATAGATTTCTAAATTATTGCCAACACGAGCGAGCTTACGGTCCCTTAATCGCTACTAATAATATCTTAGCGAACGATTAAGTGTGTGTGAATGTGTAATAGAATAAGTTAGATCTCTCTTAATTTATTCTACAAGCAATTGTAATTCTAGCGGCCGTTCTAGGTTACAAGAGATATCGGTTAAATTATTCAAACACAAATTAAACGACATTCATACAATTAAACCATCAAGACTCTAGCCATACCTCATGATTATTAATACCCCTTCATCTACCCCAAATCCCTAATTAAACCTTCTTCCTCTCATATTCTCGGAATGGTGTCTTCATATGATTTGTAGCCCTTGAAGTTGGCTTTCATATGAAACTTGAATCGTGTCCTTTGAATGATTCTACAAACAGATATGCTTGAACGATTGACAGAAGGTCATCCTGATCGTCGTTTTCAAGCTCTATTCGTCTTCTTTTAATCCCTTAGCCAATTCTAGAGCTTTTTTGTCATCAAATCTTCATCGTAAACCTTCCAGTGACCTCCAAAGCTCTCAAATCAATCTCGAATGCTTCTCAACTCGTCCCTATTGCTTCTCAAGCTCCGATGTCGGGCTCAAATTCCCTGATTTTGACTTCAAATGACACAAAACTCGAACCAACGCCTGGTAAACATAACTTGAGCAAAAATTGACACTTGTAACACCTTAAAGCTAGGAAAAACCATCAAAAGCTGATCCTACATGCATCAAATGCGTGTCAAAATACGGACTGATCAAGGCCGAAGATCACCAGAACGTGGAGGATATCTGATTTTGACCAGACCCGGTCGGGTAGGTACCCAACCCGGTCGGGTACCCGGCCCAAGGTGTTGAAAAACACATATAAATAACACATTTTTCCTTCATAAATAATCATCCCTTCTTCCATATACTTAAGCTCATTTTAGAATAGTATTTCTTTTATATTTTTATAGCATGTTCAGTCTCTAACTAAGGAGCTAAACTTCCATTTCTTGGTTTTGCTCTTGAAGCTTGTCGATTATTAAAGTTGTGAGTTATTTTCTTAACTTCTCTTGATTATTAATTCTTCCCTTAATCTCATTCTATATTAATGTTGGAAGGTTGCTAAGTGACGATTAGTTATCATTCCAGCATTAATTATTACTAGAAACGATCAACGAACCGATGGTTAATCATTGATGGTTTCACAAGTAAGTAGTTTTGGTTTGTTAATGCACGGTCGTGATTAATAAACTTAAGCGGGATTAATTTTGTTGGTTAAACCGAAACCATTGTGTTGAGGTTATCAATCTCAATTGATTTCATCAAGGAGTTAAAAAGATTTTTTTTTATTTTTTTTTATCCCGGAAGGCTAACCACCAAAATCAGTGGGGCAAATGCCGGGAGTCAGATGCCAGAATTTTATTAGATATCAAAAGGCGAAGTACAGGGCAGTGAAAAACGACAAATCAAGAGTGGCATACCACCCATAAATTTAATAAAAACATCTAAAGGAAGGAAAACCAAATAAATCTCTGAAGTATGCAAGTCGGGCCTGATATGGGAGATCTTTAGGATGATAATAAGTATGTGTGTGGGCTGATACTGATTGGGCCAAGAAATGAGCAATCCAATTACATTCGTGCCAGGCTTGCCCGAAGCTAACCCCTTTCCTAATTCCGACCTGTCTCATTTCCAAAATCAGAGTTAAAAAGATTAAATGCTACTATTACATCGGTATACATCGTTGTTCTATATTTGATTAATAGTAAGGTTGTTAATCAACGATCGTTGTTAATAACTACCCTCGATGAATTGGATATACTCCTTGATTGAGTATTCGAGAGGGGATAAGTTATAGATATAACAATGATCGACTAAAATATATCAACAAGTGGAAAGTAGCAAGGTCAAGTCCTTTTTATTCTTGAATTAAACCTCATATAAGTCGTTCATCTTCGTGTTTAATTAAATTAAATCACTCAATCCCAAAACCCCCCTTTATTTACTAGTTTTACTAAAAAGAGAATTATTTCTTTCCCTATGCATACAAACTCGACTTCACCTATAAACTACGTATAAAGTGATAGTATCGAATTTATTTTGACGCACTACAACGATGTGCTCGTCACTCCCCCAGATACGGAGCAGATTTCTTATTCGCCTCATTTGTTGATACGCTCAAACACAAGATAGAGACAGATCGTCTCTTTCATCTTCCCCAAATACGGAGCAGATCGACTCTTGACGCCAACGCCGCCACCTTGACCATCGACGCCGCCGTCTCCCTCCGCGGACAGAAGAGTTGGATCATCCCCGCCACCCTCATCCTCGGCCCTGCGCCCCTACCTCTCCCTACACCTTCTTCCTTTTCTTCTATTTCTATCAGGTTGTGAGAAAGTGAAATGGCTACGAGAAAGAGGTGAGATCTCGAAGGGCGGCAGCTAGGGTTTTTTGGTGGGTGGTCGGATCTGAGTTGGGCTGGCAAAGGTGGGGCTGTGATGGGTGGATTGGGGCTGGTTAAGGTGGTCAGAGTTTATGTGCGTCAATGATTGAGTGGATGGAGGTGGGGCGGCGGCGAGTGTTGTGATGGTGCGTTTGGCTGGTAAGTGGGGGACGAGATTGATGAAGGAGGGTAGGCAATGGATGCGGGCAGCAGACATACAGAGGTTGGGGAAGACGAGGGTCTAGAGAGGAGGAAGAGGCGGCTAGCCAGTGGACGGTGCTGCAGTTACTGGACGGAGTGGGCGGAGGCGTGTCGCTGTGATCGATGTCACTTTTGACCAGAATCACTGAGTGTGGGGGGTGGTCGGCAGCGGCGGTCTGCGGTGGTGGTGGGCGGTGGCTCTAGGGCGCGGGCAATCACTGCAACGGTAGTCACTGAAGGCGGAGTCACTTTGGCCGGAGTCACTGTAGCCGAAGTCACTTTTGCCAGAGTCACTGAGATAGTGACTGACAATGGGGCAGTGACGACGGCGGCGGTGACGGTGGCGGTGGCAGTGGTGGTGCTGGGGTCGGCTGTCCGGAGGTGCTGGTGGCTACAAGATATGGACTAGTAATCAAATGTATAAAAGGAATATTAAAATATAATAAATATGGAGTATATGA